GGACACCGCACATACCGTAGTTTGCGTCTATCATAGGCCAGCGCAGTGCATGTCCCAAATTATCCAATCAGTTCTCAGAGGACTCGGGGGCTTCGATATCCCTCTAGAGCAGTATATCGCAGCCTAAAGCAGAGCAGAGCACAACACGAGCAACAGACTGGCACGCTGCGCTATCTCGCTGCACTCGAGTAACCGTGCAGCACTTGAGCATCCACCCAGATCCTTCAGGTGTAGCAGACACCACCCCACAGCTAAGTTAGGCGGAGCTAGGAAAGAGTGGCAGAGGGCTATCCATTGCCGTGTGCGGGAAAAGAGAGAGGGAAGGGGGGAAAAAAAGCTTTTCATCATGCCATAACGCACTGTACCGGAACTGAACTTTCTCCAGTCTTCGCCTGTCCGGCCTTCCCCCGAATACAGCATAGGATACCGGTAGTGCAGTTCTTACTACGATACTGTACCGTTGCTGTACCCCCCAAAGCGCGGGGCGATAGTGAGTACCGGTAGGGTAGCCCACGATACTCGACCATCGGCACGAAGTACGAGCAGAGAAGCAAGGAAAGAAAGGAGAAGAAAAAAGAAAAGAAAAAACCATGCACCATGTACGGGATCAGGATCGATACTTGTGTGTACTCGTACTCGTAGTAGGAGTATGATACTTTCCAGTACCGGTACTTTTTGACTACCATACTTGTACAACACACCCGACACAGCAAGCACCTCGCCCCACCTTACGCCATGTTCCCAGGCGATGCTGATGATAACAATTTACAGAACAAGCCCAGTCCGGTCCTGCCTTTAACTTATTTCTCCCCTCTTTCCTCTCCTAGAGAAAGGAAAAAAAAAAGAAGAAGAAGAAAACCCTGCAGCCCCGTTCACCATGTATGTAGGTATGTACAGTACTTACCGTAGTCCATGATACGTATCCCTACAGTAATAAGGACCCCGATATTGAACACGCCCTCGTTCCCTCCACCCGCAGGACAAAGCGAGTAGCCCCCCCGATAGTCAGCCAAAGTCCCCGATCCCAGGTGCACCTTTCTTTTTTTTTTTCTCCCCGCAATGCAATAATAATAATAATAATAGTGGTAAGGGAACCATGAATGAATCGCGAAAAGGAAACGGGAGGTGGGGGAAGCGAGATTAGGTTATTTGGAGTTTGTCGATGGTTCGCCCGACCTTTTTCCTTTCGCACATATGGTAATCTACAGTGCTCGAGTGCTGAGCATTTGAGAGGGGGTGGAGGAGTCGAAGTGGTGCCTTGGAGTGGGGGTGTTCGGGGGGTGCTGGTGACTTGAGCAGGGTGAGGTACCGTATCATATCGTACTGGATAGGTTGGTGGGCCAGTGTTCTTGGCGATTGGGCGTTTCCACCAAAAATTCGTCGTTTAAACGGGCTCCTACATCTGACCTGAGCGGGAAAGCTTTCCAGAAACTATGCAAGTGGTTAAGTTATATATTGTCGTGCAAGTAGTAATATTACGATGCATGTAGGAATTTAATTATCCTCCGAGTGTTCGCAGGGTCCTGCGACACTTGCCCATCGCGTTATATCATAATAATATTATTATTATACAACTCATCAGAGATTGGGTCAGTCTTGTGAGGCGTTACCGGGGCAATTATCTTAGCGTATTATTGATAATAATGATGACCTTTAAAATTAATGATGGTACCTGTATGATAGAGCCTTATGACAAAAGTTCGCGGAACCCTAACTAGTTGGCAATGGGCTCACCTCGGATTAATCATGAGATATTCCCCACATGATAGAATGACTTTAAGCCGGGGCCCTGGGGGGAAAAAGGGACGCCCAACTTTTGACGAGCTACCATTCGCCCGTGTTTGATGTGAAACGGCCAAATCACCAAGACTCTCACCCGCCTGCTGTGCGAGCACGGTACTGTACGGTGCTCGGGTGTCGCAGACTAACTTTAAGCGTACGGGAGAGGGAGATGCGGACAGAGATGGGGATGCTGATGTCGACATTGTGTGGATGGCCGGTAATACCGGCACTGCAAATTTCTGTACGGTACTCCACCGCCTTCCTCCCCTCAAGCCATCCCATCCCCATTCCTCCAATTCCATTCACCGCCAACGTAAAACACAGTGCCGTATCATACTCTCGAATACTCCACTCCACGCCAACGGGGTTGGTGAGCAACTGCCGTACCCTAGATTCCAGGTGGTAACACACTCCTCGTGCTTTCCATAGTCCTAAAAGGGTAGTAAATTCCCCGTCGATTCGCCCATCAATCCGTACCCGTACTCTTACCCTACTGCACCCTTACTCATTTCCCTCGCCTCACCTCACCTTACGCGCCAGCACAAGCACGCCTTGACTCTCACGTGTCTGTTCAAGCCGTCCAGCTCCTGTCTTATCAGGTTGCAGTCATAGAATATCACTCGACATTTGGTCCCTGGTCTTTATTTTCTTCTCCATTTTACTGTTGTGCGGGGTCCTCCACTTTTTATTTTTCTCTATTTCCTTATTTTGTCCCTCCCTCCCACCGCACCTTCCGAGTGATCAGGCTAACATGTGGGTGGATAAGTAAACCTCCGACGGGTACCAAGTTATCATACCTATCTTGGCTCCTGGCAGGTGTAGACACGACATGCCCCGCTGTATCAAACCTTGCTCGCGACTTAGATTTTCCCACCATGTCTCTGAAAAAAGGTACCGTACAGTTCAGTGCGGTGCCGGCACAGGGTTTGGATCTCCGACATCTTTGTGCCCCCTGAGAGTGTGGTATGATACCACGTTTTTTTATATATATATTTTCTATCGCGGGACTCTACCCAGTCAGTAAATCAAATCAATCAATCGGCCGACCAATCAACCTGTTCCTCACCTGCCCCAACATCTCTTTTGCCCCCCCCCCCAAAAAAAAAAATCTCCGCTGGAAAGCAACTCTGTCTATCTATGATATCTATCCAGAAGGGTAACTCTTGTCATCACCCTAAGACCCATGGCAGACCGCAGACACCTCCGGTACCCCCTACTCGCCGGAGTTGATGACGCCAAATTCAGCATAGCGAACGCGAATCGAATCGCGTGGTGAAAAGCCCTGGGAATACCGCACAAACTTTTCGCGGACCGGCGGTGGGGGGGAGGGAATCGTCGTTTTGAGACGGCCTAGGGCGCTTCCGTCTGGACCGTTTTTCCTGATCTGAGGGGGTTGGATATCCCGGATGGCAGAGAGGGTGCAATGTGCGCGGTGGATACCCGGGCATGGTGGAATAACGATTTTTTCCGAGTGGAGGAATGGATGCAAGTTTTTCGATGATTGTGACTAATAGGAGGCCCCGGAGTTCCCATGAGCATTGAAGATTGGTAGAGGGATAGAGGGTAAATATGGGGGGTTTATCAATCTGAGTCCAGAATTGGTTCTGAGTGTTGTTGCTGAATTGTGCATGGATGGAGGAGCTCATGCGGTCAAGTCAAGTTACTGATCATGTATGATCACTCGGTTCGGTACCTTTCGCGCGCATCGCCTGGACATATGATACAACTATTGCTCGTTAGAGCACGCCAGCTTTGAAAGCCTTTCCTTCTATATTGTTTCCTTCATTATTTCCTTCTGTTCCTTTCCTTTCTCGCTCTGCTCTCTACCTTTCAGGCCCTTATTACCCAATTGAACCCTTCACTCTACGTATCCCGGCTCGTCGGGGGTAAAGTTATGGCGTACTTCGCTCTCTAAAACCCTCTTTCCGATCAGTGCCTCTTCCTTTAGCATTTATAATAGCTAGTCAATTTTTAGGGAATGTGCTTGGTGGTAAGTTTCTGTTGCCAGCCGGTGACCTTGGGAATTGCGTGATCGCAGGACTGGGAAGCCTTTCCTTCGTGGTTCGGGCATTGCGCTGCTTGCACTGCTCCTGGGAGGGCACATGGTGCAGAGCTGCCGGTGGTGAAAAGTTATCGTGTTGAGGGCTTGTGGAGGAGGGGCCACAGAGGTGGTTTACAACGGTGCAAACATTTGAAATTTACGAGGAGCCACCTACAGGTGTGAAAATCTCACCTTCATCACTCTCGGAAAAAATCTCGGAAAAAAAATTAGGGGAGGTACCATATCACATATATCATGTATATCTTCGCGCACGCCCGTAGAAGGCGCTTCTCAGTTACCGCCCCTTTTCACAGGAAGAGTAAATTTATGTATGATAGCACGTCCGGGGCCGACGTGCCTGCACCACACCTCGTGGTTCACGCCCAATACCATCAGATCACGCGCTCGGGGTCAAGACGCGCGCCGAAGATTTTCCTAAAAAATCCCCATGGGGGGAGATGGGTTTTGCACTCTCAAGTCACATTGCATGCAAACTTCAATATGATTCTTGAGGGCTGCATGAGGGTGCTGGTGGTCAATGCCAACCAAGAACCAATTTCGTTTCGCACGATATCATTTGGTCTGATATCACTTCTTCCCACCAGCGAGATCTCACAGCCGAGACCACGAGCCAGCCTAAGCTGTGCTGTGGAGTTTAGGAGTTCGTAAACCCTCCTGGGGAGCCACCTTCACGAGTGCTGCACGGCTAGGTGGCACGGTTGTGATTCTCTGTGTGCTGGGGTTGGTGTGGGCGCGTCGAGTGGTATTGTATCAGCGGATTACGGGCCCCCTTACACCTGGGCGCAAAGTATCCGCCATTGCGTGGGGGGAGGGGGAGGAGAGGGGGAGGCAGGTAAGCAGGGTGTTGAGTCCTGGTTGTTTCCATTGGAACATTGGCTCTCACTCGTTTGTGGGACCTGTGAGAGGAGGAGGGAGCAAGCCCTCGTTACGATATAATACGTTGAATGAGAACTTCTGGGGAGCTGTCACTTTTTAGCCTCTCCAAGCTCACCTTGTCATGGCGGGTATGCCGGAGGTGGTGGCTGTACCAATGACACTAGGTGAGGAAGCTTAGGACCTACCGCACTATTGTTGTAAATTAAATGTCTTTAACCAAACTCGATAACTCCTACCGATACGACGTCTTATACCTTCGGCGCAAGGCTGTCGGAACATACGATCTAACACAGGTATTTATTATATACAGGAGACAATTCAATAAGCAAGAAATTCTAGACACAACTCCTTGGACGAGAAACAGGTCCTAAAGCCTGAACACCTCCTCCTCAACAACCCATTTCTTCCCATCCAGCTTTTTCACAACCTCACACGCCCACCCTACAACAATCAGTCCCGGCGGTCGAGACCCTACCTCCTCAACCGCAAAGCATATATTCTCAAGAGTGGATCTCACAATCCTCTGATCCGGACAACTTGCCCTCTCGATAACCGCGCAGGGCACCTCCATCGGCCAACCCTTCTTTTTCAGGTCACGCACCATATCGCCAAGCCTATGTAGCGCCATAAGGAACACCGTCGTTCTAGTACTAACGTACTCCGGCATCTCCGGTGCAGCGCCCTTTCGGCCTGTACCCGTGCAGATGAGTGCCTGATCTGCGACCCCGCGATGTGTTGGCGGTATACAAGCGAACAGCGGCGCTGACAGCGAGGAAGTTATTCCCGGGAGAACGGTGGGGGTGTACCCACGGCGCTCGAAGAATTCAAATTCTTCGGCGCCCCGGCCATAGATGTATGGGTCTCCTTGCTTCAGTCGGATGACGTTTAACCCTTTTTGGAGACCTTCTAGACCGAGCTCTAGGAACTCTTCTTGAGCTTTGTCGGCGTTACCGGGGAACTTGCGAGCTATATGGACTACCGCACGTCGCGGGACTAGGGCGAGGACGGGCTGGGGGACGAGTTTGTCCGCTAGGACTAGGTCGGCGGAAGTTATGGCGTTTACGGAGGCGGTCGTTAGGAGGTCTGGATGGCCAGGACCGGAGCCGACAAGCTTTATTCTGCCCCCGCGCGGAAGGGAGCCTGGCGGTTGTGGGATGTGTCCGGAATTATTGGCGTTTATGTATGATTCTAGTAGAGGCCCGATGTCGTCGTCTGTGAGCCCTGCCAACCTTTCCAATGGCCAGTACTCGCAAATTTGCGAGAGCCAACGTGTCCGCCGAGTTTTCGCTGCATCCGCGTCTTCTGGGAGAACCAATGCGTTGAAGTTACACCTCTGGTCTGTGCCATCTACATCTTCGTCGAAAATGTCCGTCTCTCCGTGATCCTCTTCCCACAGTCTTCGCCTGAGCTTGCCCAGGCGAGTGCAGGCTGCACCCACTCCTTGTGGTAGTGTATTTGTGATTTCTCTCTTAATCCTATTAGATAGCTTGCATCCATTGCCAGAAGTAGTCACCCCGATCTGTAGGGGCCCGTCGGAATAGGTTGACAATAGCGTGAAGCTGCAAAGGTGTGGGGCGTCAGCGACGTTAACTGGAATTCGGAGTCGCCGACATTGATTAGATATGTAGGTGCCTATTCATATCTTATCAGTTCTTATCCGCTCTTGCTCATTAAGTATAGGATCGCATACATTGTGTACACTCAACTGGTAAGGTAACAAACACCAAGTCAGCAACCTGATCAACCTCAGCTCTCCCCAAGGTTGTCAAGTCTTCGGATCGGAACTCCCGTCGAATCCACTGAATCTCCTCAGCTTCAATCCGCTGCCGTAGCCCGTAATGTAAAGTTTCAGAGTCGGGAGCAATAAGTTTAACCTTCGCCCCGACTTCCAGACTCTTGGCGCAGCGTGCCCCAGCAAGAGGGTTCGATCCGACGATTAAGTGAACCTGCCCCGAACAGTCAAATGAGGTCAAAAGACCAGGAGAAGCAATTAATCCCGGCATCATAGACGGCAAGTTTTTCAGATCCGGAAGTTTACAAGGCATTTTGTGAAGTGGCATAAGTGACCTTTTATACTAATCCTGCTGTCGGAGAAAGTTTGCGGGACGGGGATAGGGCGATATAATGAAAATATTAGGATTTGGTAAAGCGTGTGGTTTAATTGGTCAATTGGAGGGGTGAAAAAAAAAATGGCGACATGAGGCTCTTGCGGGGTCCGGATCCCTTTGTGTACATGTACATGTACAGTAAATGGCCGCAAGATCTTGGAAATGCATCACCGGTATCAGATTACCGGCGGGAATCAGCGCGTGAGCCTAGGACAGGTTTAGTTTGACAGGTTGGCTGGATTGTGAATGCCAATTAATGAAATCTGACATCCCTCCGGGGATCAATCATATGCTGTGTTAGGAAAACGCCTATCCTTCTATGGCCTTGTCTCTGAATCTGGAGATTGCAGAACAGAGGGAGAAGGTGGGCTCCACATTTTTAAGCACCTGGACTCGCCCGGTTGCTAACCCATTGTGCGAATGACAACGGCCGAGATTCGAGAAGGCCCCGAATGTTGTGACAGATCCTCTTCAAAGGATTATTGGCCGGGTCACTTGAAAGTCGTGATTTCTGGGCTTTCGTGTTTATCGCCAGACTTTCTTGCTAAAACAGTCGGCATTTGTACTGTACTTGTATGATACCGGGCAACAGGTAATCGAGTATCGTACCATTCCGGTAATTTAAATATTTGAAATGTGTGAAATCCGGGAACTTGACGGATGGATGGGGCCCGGGTGTATGATACGGTAAGGTTCGTTCATCCCTCCCGTGTCACCAACCCGAATGGCGGGTCCCGTATGGTAAGATAATAGTACCGGTATCATACGGGTAAATTTATCACACCAGTGTCGGGGCCCCGCGGAGACTGAACCCGCGGAAATGGGCAGTTCCTGGATAAGGATTATCGCGCTGGGTCAATCCGGCCTGAACAAGCACGGATGCGAACTCGAAATCGATAGGTCATTGGGCACTCAGAGGATAGAAACCTATCATGCTCGAGTACGGTGGATAGGGGATGCTTGGCATAGATAGAGGATGTTCCCAGGAATTGCGAACTGTGTTCCTCGAGTTTGCAAGAGACCCTGACGAGAGAACCCCCCACCAGCTCTTTCCATAATTGGTAAAGTATCATAAATCATGAGCCTCAACAATTACCCGGCAACACCACAGAACGGCACACCGCCACCCCACCACCCCACCATGCAAACACGACCCCCTACACCCAAGGCATAGCAAACTCTCCATTCATTCACTCTCGCCCAATGCCCCCGACTCTGAACCTCAATAGCCCGTCCAGAGACGCCTCCTCCTCCCACGTCTTTACCATGTATTCCAACACTTCACTCACCCGTATTTTTCCATGACCAACGGATGGCTAACGAAGATCTCTGTCCCCCAGACGGCCCGCTACATCCGCAGGCTCACACAAAACCTTTCTCCGGCTAACTCTTCACCGAACGGCTCTCTCAGCGCTTGGTGTCAAGTCTGGCGAACTCTGTCAGGTTTCTACTATTGGGACTAACGGCGAGAAAGCTTTCCCAGTCATCGCTTGGCTGTCGTCTGATCCACATGTGCAAAGACATGTTGCGTTAATATCGGACAGTGTGAAGACGCTGTTGGGGGCAGGGTATGAGGACAAAGTGCGTGTTGAGAAGTATACCGGAAAGGTGATTGATGCCGCAAGGGTTGCGGTGAAAGAGGGGGATGGGATGTCTATGGTGGAGGAGGGATGGAAGTGGTATTTGGAACATATTTTCGGTGAGTGCCCGTAAGATATACACGGGAGATTAATAGGACTGATGAGGGGCCTAGTCGAGTTAAAATATATCCATGATAATTTGAGTATTCCGGTCATAGAGTATAAGGGTGCCAAAAGGCTTTTTCGAATAGAAACGGTCAGTGGAGAAGAAAATGCCCGGGCTGAGGATGGACCAGCGGTGTATAAAACTACTTTATCCACCGCCGTTGAGATAGCCAATCCCTCCTCCATCCCATCCTCAAAGCCTGCCATGCTCCCTGCGCCTAAGGTAGAATCTTCAAAAGGGTCAAATCCACAGCCCGGCTCTGCAATCATGATATTCCCCTCGAAAACCAACTTCTCGTCCATCGGTGGCCTCGCCCCGCAGATCACGACACTTAAGACTTTCCTCCTCTCAACCCTCCGCCATTCACACCATTTCACTAAACACAACCTAACTCCCCCGCGCGGAATCCTCCTCTACGGTCCTCCCGGCACCGGGAAGACTCTCCTACTCAAAGCCATCGCATCCGAGATCTCGGCTAAATGCTACGTTTTGAACGGTAGTGTGGTAGGCAAGTACCTTGGAGAGAGTGAGGCGGCTATTCGCAAAGTCTTTGCGGAAGCTAGGAAGAATCAGCCGGCGGTGGTGTTTATGGATGAGGCAGATAGCATAGCGCCTAAGAGGGGTGAAGGCGACGGGAACGAAGGGAGGATTGTTTCCACAATATTGACAGAGATGGACGGAATGGCTTATGCGGGCAGTGATGGAGCTGAGGAGGTGAAGCTAGTGGTTGTAGCAGCAACAAGTCGGCCGAACTCTATCGACCAGGCACTCCGTCGACCAGGAAGATTCGATAGAGAGGTTGAAATTGGTATTCCGGACGCCGATTCTCGTAGGGAAATTCTTGAAATTCTCGCTCGAGACATAGAGTTCTCCAACGAGCAATCCAAGGAAGTTACGATCAAAGCTTTAGCTACCAAAACTCACGGCTTTGTGGGCGCTGATTTAGAAGCGCTCATTCGCACGGCCTTCACCAGCGCGCTAACGCGCCTGGAACAGGATGACCTCGATTTGTCAACTCTCGACCTCAATGACCCTATAGAAATTTACCCCCAGCTCCTCCTCCGCGAGGAAGACATAGACTCAGCGCTAAAGGATGTGCGCCCAACCGCCATGCGCGAGATCTTCCTCGAAACTCCCAGTGTCCGCTGGTCCGATATCGGCGGTCAAGAGGAAGTCAAGCAGCGCCTGCGAGAAGCCGTCGAATGGCCATTAGCACACCCTGAGGCATTCTCCCGTCTAGGCGGTACTCCGAGAAAAGGTCTCCTACTCTACGGACCACCCGGTTGCTCAAAAACCCTCACTGCGAAAGCATTAGCTACAGAGGCCGGGTTGAACTTCATGGCTGTAAAAGGCGCTGAGCTGTTCAATATGTATGTTGGCGAATCGGAGCGTGCGGTTAGGGAGGTGTTCAGGAAGGCCCGCGCTGCAAGCCCGAGTATTATCTTCTTCGACGAGATTGATGCCCTAAGTGCCAGCCGGCATGATGGTGGGCGAGGCGGCGGAAAGACAAATGTGCTAACAACGCTGCTTAACGAAATGGATGGCATAGAAGTTCTTAAGGGCGTGATCATTCTTGCTGCTACTAATCGTCCGGAAATTATTGTACGTTTCCCCTTTCACGGATCAACTGGTCTCCAAGACACTTAACACCACTCAGGACCCAGCCCTCCTCCGCCCCGGCCGCCTCGACACAATCCTCTACGTCGGGCCTCCGGACCTACCCGCCAGAGAGCAGATTCTTCAGATAAAGACCGGTAAAATGACCATTTCCACAGACGTCGACCTCAGCCATCTCGCCGAAGCCACAGAAGGCTTCTCGGGCGCAGAAGTGGTAAACATCTGCGACGAGGCTATCCATTATGCTATGCGCGAGTCCTTCTCCATCAGAGCGGTTTGTGCTAGGCATTTCGAAGCGGCGCTGAAAAGGGCTGTCCCGCAGATCACCACTGCGATGTGTAAAGCTTATGAGAGTTGGTCTGTGGGTGGGGTCAAGAAGATATAGCGGTGACGTGCGCATTGTTACCATGCATGCATTCATGGATCATCATTCGGATATCTCTTTTCTTCCCGGTATCGTTATCGTAGAAAACATTAATTTTGCAGCCTTTGAGAGGTAAAGTAGAAATTCAGAGCAGTGTTGAAGCCGCCCTGGGGGAATAGTAAAGTACTGTAAACTAACAAAGCAACTTGTGAAAATCCATTTCCCCCCTCGAAGTAAGTATTGGACAGCCAAGTACAGAGATGAAGCTGAATGCATCCAGATACACACACAGGTGATAACACGCCTGCTAGAAGTTGACGCTAAGGAATCGTGTCAAAAAATCGAAAGAAAGAAAAGAGGAGGGGTACGAGTAGGTAAATGGGAAAAGTAAGAAATAGGGTTGAAAATCGATACCGAACCAAGAGAGGAGAGGGAATGAGGGGGAGGGGAAGAAAGAAAACCCCCCCCTCCCCCCCCCTTAAAATAGAACACGGGGTAATGTACAGCCTCCGAACCCCTCAAAAGAAAAGCAGGGCAAGGCGAAGCATTCACCAACCCAACCCAGTCATTTTCCAATTCTTTTTTTCTTCCGATTTTCCTTTGATTGATACCAAGCCGCACCCCACAACACAGCACAAAACGAACTTGCAACACCCATCCATGTTGAACACCGACCGATTCATGATAATTAGCCCACCCTTTTTCTACTCGTAATCAATTCCCAACCGAAAATTCTCGCCTTGACAGTTTCTCCCCTTTTCCCTCCCGTTTTGCGATCCCTTCCACTGAGAAAAAAGGAAGAAAAAAAGAGAAGCAAAAAAAGGAACCCATCATACAATAATTTCGGCATGCTATAGTTTCGTCTAATAATTAATTATAAGTGAAGAGAAGGAAGAAGAGTTGGCGTATCCTGCCCTAATCTAATGGCCGTTAACGGCACCGTTCCAACACTCGAGTAGCTAGGGTTGGTTAGTAAAGTGGTTTATGAGGATTTATTTGCGGAGTGAGAGGGGTGAGGGAGAGGGAATTAACCTTATCACCAACGATTCCCTGACCTACCAAGTATCTCCCTAATCGTTCTACAACTTCCAGTTGTTCTTCGGGGGAGAGACTTGTGATTGCCGTCTCGAGGATACCACCGACGCTCGCGCGATGGTTCACAGCGATGAAGGATTGGTAGTACATGTAGGAGAAGAAGCCCATGATAAACTGACAATCCATTCGGTCTGTCGAAAGTTGTTAGACACGCCTCAGTAGTATGAGGAAATATAGACTACTAACCAGTGATGCCACCGTGACCCGGAACAAGGTCTCCGAAATCTTTAATCTTAAAGGTCCTCTTGAGTCCACTGGCGAAAAATCCCCCAAAAGGTGCGATCAATGAGGCAAAAGTAGCCATCGCAAGAATATGGAATTGCATAGGCTGAACCTTTACAGTCGCGCCAAGGACTGGTTGCAGGAAAAACGGAAGCTGGTACTCGTGTTTGAGGAAAACCGGGTTGGGATCACACTCAAGTCCAGTGAACGCATTGGACCCAAGATCCTGTTGGTTGAGACCGCCCCACGTTAGTAACGCCACTAAGATTGGTACACAGATTAGATTAAAAGAAACAATGAAGTGCTAAGTGCGGATCAGACATGCCATGACTCTGCAGTGCGCTTCTTGGAGGCGCTCAGAAGTCTAACATCTATATAACAAAAGGCACCTCATCATATCACCAATTCCACATTATGGGCGTTCGGTAGGCGGCACATTGGGTTGCTCGGGGATGTATTTTGGGGTCATGTTAGGGGCTTTGGTGGAATTCCTCACCTTGACTGGACAGATAAAGTACTTGTATCGCATCAGGATGTTCGTCATCACCAACCCGAAAAAAACAGTACAAACCCAGGCACCGACAAAGCCCTCCACCGTCTTTTTAGGGGAGATCTTGATGAGTTGGGTGCGCCCAAAAGTGATTCCGCAGATGTAGGCAAAGATATCATTGGTGATTACTAGGGACACTGGAAGGAAGAACCAAATCATTCCCTCGAAAATATTGTTCATGATAAAGTGCGCTTGGACCACAACCAGATATAGAGCCATGTGGGTCCATGCGAATTGGGTAAACTGGAATCTGTAGTGCCCCTTCTTGAGAGAGGCAACAAAGAAGACAAATCCTATGTCCCTGTTCAGAACGATTCCGTGAAAAGGAGAAGAGAGAAGCAATACCTATTATGTAGAGCACAAAGCTGATAAATCTGTGATGGGTTGCAAAGGGTAACAGAAATGCATCAACCACGACAATATGTTTGAAGTAGTAAATTACACTCTCGCCGTACAAAAAGTACATGGTGGCAGCGAGGAAGTACCAGTTTAAACTCTTGGTGAATTGCAGCTTCTTTTCACGCGAAGGCACATTTGCGATAGCAATGACCTCCTTGAATGTTATCACCTGAACAGCCGTAACCAGGATCACTAGATAGATGTGACCCGCGGCCATTGCGGCGAAAAAGAGTGCTATCATCAACAGCGTCCATATCGTCCGAGTTATGAAGGTTTGCTTCTTCTTCTCATACTCCGAAAGCGGGGGAGGCTCTTCCTGAATTCATTCCACACGTGTTAGCGGCACTGCTCGTTCCAGCGGAAGAGCGATCGGTCGATCAATCCCGGTGCGACCTACCCGTATTACGGGAGACCTATTGGGACTTGAATCTGTTCCATCTCCGTGAAGAGCTGATCGTGAGGGACTGGCAAGGCCGTCTTCACTTGAGAAGCTACTTCGTCTTGCGCCTGAGTCGTTGGATGTGCTGAATTGCGAGCGGTGGGCGAATTTGACGTTTCTTCGCGGTTTGGCCATTTTTGGTGATGGAGGGGGAGGGAAGGAAGGAGGGAGAAATTAGGGCAGAGACGGGATGAAGATCCTGTTTCACACGCCAACGCCAAAGATTGCGAACGCGGTCACAATCTTGAAAACCGAAAGGGGAAAGGAAGCTAGCGGGAGTTGCAAGGGAATAATTAAGGTAGTGGTATCGATGCTGTGCTCGAAAGCGTTGGAGATGAACGAGCGCAATTTGGAGGTTAGTTATGGCGAGGGAGCTGTGAAGGGTGAGGTTTGTGGGTCTCCGGAGGGTTATTCTCTCTCTCCCTTCCCCCTCTTTCTTTTCGTTTTTTTCGTTTTTTCTCCTTCTTTCCTTCCTTCTCTCTTCCCTTTTCACCTCTTCCCTCTTCTTTTCCCTCACGCTTATGTGGGTATGGAACACTGAACAATAAGAGAACCCCGGAAGGAGTGAAGCAGGGCGGGCCGGGGGGTGATTTGGTATAATGGCTGTCACCACCAGTGAGTGGGTGTAGTGCTGGGCAGATTGCCGTACACGGGTTTGCTGGAGCAAGTGACGCGGTCGAAATTTTCCCCCCAAGGTCCAGGGATCTGACGTTGATTACTGTATGCCAAGGCCCACCGGATCGTGAATTGGCTTACATGTGCTCGAGTAAATTTACAGCATGATAGTCTAACTCACTGCACCCCCCACACCCAAATCCGGCGAAGTTTGGTTTGTGGCAGCCCTTCTCAAGTCACCCACGGGCTGACCTGATTACCAAAGCAGTCTTCCCGAGCCCGGCCCCCACCTCTAGACTACGGTGCCTTCTATCATACTGGAGCTCCGGCACCATAGAGTCTACCCTGGCTTGCCTTGCCTTCTTATCAAAATGGTTCATGTGTGCTGCCTTCTCATCTCGCATACCGGTAATAATATACCACGTAGAGCTGTATTTAGCTATATCGTCAATCTATAATATTTTTTAATGGAAAAAAAATGCCCGGCCAACCCCTTGCCAATTCAGCATCCAGTGGCCCAAGGAGTAAGTAGAATAGACTTAAATACAGTCTATTCTCCATCCGTGTGGTTCCGTATATCTCGAAGCCATATTTCGTCTACAGCTCTCGGCTTATCTGGTGTGGTCTCTAATAAATTTTATTCCAATAAATGAGTGGAGGGACATGACACCTATATTTACGTATAATCGCAGTTAAATTAGCTAGTAAATATATGAAACATACCAGAAGCACGGATCCTGAGGTTATTATGTTTTGGTATGTTTGCATTTTCTCTTTTTAGTCCTTTGGAGGTCAGTTCATTGTTGGGGGGGGGGAACCATCATCATAGCTGAAGGTCTTAGAAAAAGGCGATAGTAAATTTCCCGGTATCCGAAAGGGTTTACTGGTAAGCACATGGCATCCAAAAGGGTTTTCTCTCGAATACCGGTAATCGGACAATGTGCTATGTCGTTGGAGTTGCCTCCTCTGGCAAGGGTTGGCGTTTTTTTTTTTTTTTTTTTTTTTTTGCGTCTCTCAGAGGGGCTGAGCAGCTCATCTTGTATAAATTTATGGCTCCGTTGCACAGCGCAGGTACGAGTGCTCGAGTACGGTACTGTACCGGTACTCATGCTTCACGAGTCCCCAAACACAGCGCGCCAAAACTTCAGGGGTCATTCGGGCCCAATCCTGTTCCTTTTGGTCAATGTATGATATGATGCCGGTACGATACTCAACTCGACGTCCGTACATCATACCCTACCGTGACATCTGCTAGCCCCGCCGGGGTCAACCTTATCCAAATATCCACCCGCGCCAAACCGACGTCCCCATTCCCTGCCAGTCAGCTGCAGGTACCATGTATTGGCCCCTCGGCACTCCTCGAATATACGCGGCGAAACCTCCCCTAGATTCTTCACCGCCCGCATACGATTTTGATGACGGCTCCGGCAAGCTCATCCAAAACAGCCCTTCGCTCTTGCTCAGGGACGGTGACGGTGGCGACGGTGATGAAGATGACCATTGTGAAAGGGTGAATAATGAGGACGGTGAAGACGACGACGACGACGACGACGACGACGATGATGAGGATGATGAGGATGATGGTGAAAACTCTCAGGAAGGAAAGAAAGTCGAGGAAAAGGAGATAATCGATCTAGAGCTCAGGGGAGCTCTACTACCACCATGGCCAAAGGGTAAAGGAACCGACCTGAAAATTCGCAACCACCAATCTGCCCTAGGGAGGGAGGAGGAGGAGCGAAGGAAACACATATTGTCGTTAAAGGTGGCTAGGAGTGGAATGTTGTTTGCAACCATTACCGTTTCCGACCTTACAATCTGGCAGATGAAGGTGGGGGAGACCTCCGACTGGGTTGAAAAGTTGCGCTCTGAACGCTAATACAGACTTAAAATGATCGCGGGTAGCCCACGGCCGTCGTTGCTCATGTTCGCAGGTCTCGGATCTCCCTCGGCTCGTACGGTCCTAATACGGATCTCCTCATAAGACCGGACTCACAGATATTCGTGGTGCAAACTACATTGGGATACCTAATCACGTACTCGCTCGCCTCGGATCCGAATGCTAGAGTCTACAAACCTAGCTTCGTTAATAATCATCATCATGCGCGGCAGAACTCAATGGCTGGTGGGCTGAAGGCAGCCGTTGGTCCAGGGGGATTGCTTCTTGGAGCAGGCGAAGCGGGAGGCGTGAGGGAATTCTCCGTGAGATTCAGGATGGTTATTAAGGTTGATGCGGGAATTAGCAGGTTTGGTCATCCCGGCAACCATGAGAATCGAGGCGGGGGTTAACAGGATGCTGTGGAGATTAGAGCTTTAGCTCTCGATGATGAATTGGTGGTAGCTACTGTGAAGCCAGCTGCAGTTCAATGTATTCGGTGGACACCGGATTCGACGGGGAACCAAACAACTACAGAACTGCTCAGCCGGATGCTATGGCTTCAAAAGAAAGGTTAGTGCATTAACTTGGTATGTGGTGTTTCTTGGAGGCGTTTCATCGCACCTCCAAAGCCTCTTACTGACCCTCGAGCCCTGTTGAACAGCCGTTGTTACGGAGATCGTTCATGACAGACCGATGAATCTTTCAACATGGGTTATAGGTGGTGGCCAGGCGTATGCTGTGCAAAAGGCCGTTTTCGAGGTTTGCCCGCCTATCCTATGATTGATGAGATATCTAACAAGTAGCTGCCGTAGGATGGTGATGTTTCGCGCATGTTCAAGGGCTACTGTTTCCACATCCCATCCTCCTCCGTGGAGAAGGCTGTAAAAGTTGCCATCAATGCTCGATTTTCGCTCATTGCCGTGGCTTGTGCCAAGTAGGTGCTTATCTCATTCCCAATTCAGGTTCAACTAACACGGGATACTTAGCGGATCAATCTTTGTTTATAACGTCCGTGACTACAATGGGAGTATCCCCTTGTCACATGTGTTATCAGCACCGGCATCACCCACAACCTCTGGAAAACCAACATTCATAACCTGGTCGCCTGACGGGTATTGCCTTTTTTCTGGCTACGAAAGGGGTTGGGCAACATGGAGTGTCTATGGGAAGCCTGGTGGAAATTCGTTTTCTGCGGACACTAGACTACTAGAGCGCAGCGCGGGCGAGGGATATCTAGGGGGTGTGAGGGCGGGAAGCTGGACATCAGGCGGTGGAGAGATAATGCTCGTGAAGGAGGGCGGAGATGAGCGAATTTGGGCCATGGAATTTGCGAGGTCAGCGGTTACTGGCTGCTTTTGCTCGGCCAACATTGCTCGGCCAGTTTTGCAGACGAATGAGAAGATACTCATATACCGTGGGTATGATAAATCCGATATTACAGCGATTTCACAGGAGGCGAGTGTGCTATGGCATCATGTGCAAATGCCTTCGGTGTACTTGGTAGACAACTGGCCAATCCGAAGTGCGGTTATATCGCCAGACGGAAGATACGTCGCGATAGCTGGTAGGAGAGGACTTGCTCATTATTCAGTCAATAGCGGGCGCTGGAAAACATTTGTCAACGAGAATATGGAACAGAATTTTGTGGTGCGGGGGGGCATGTGCTGGTATCAACACATCTTGATTGCTGCAGTTGAGTGTGATGATTTGTATGAGGTTTGCAATGCCCGAAAAATACTCTTTCCAACATGACTTGCTAACACTCGCGGCCATTATAGTTGAGACTCTATTCTCGAGAGCTGCAACTCGACAACTCATTATTACTGCACATGGAGACTCTACCGTCTCCTGTCATCTCCATATCCCTCGCTGGAGATGACTCACTTCTAGTCTATACCTATGACAATGCCTTGTATCATTTCATTGTACAAGGAACGAAAGATACTGTAAAGCTCGTGCAGGTCGGCCAGATTTACTTCCATGGCATCGTCCGGGCGCCCGCAAGAGTAAGGGCTATAAGCTGGATCCTGCCAGAACAGCAGGTTCGCGATGGCGATCCTTCACAAGATGTGGCTGTCGCAACAGTTATCTTTCTTGTGGATGGGAAGTTGGTTGTGTTGCAACCATCAACCACAGAAGGAGGAGACGCCAAGTATGATATGCGGGTTCTCCAACAAAACGTAGAATACTATGCATTAATGAGGGATTGCCCTATACAACGGCACCTCCAGCAGAGTTCATCGGAAGGTGGGGGGGCGACGCCTTATGACGGGGACCTTCCGTCAGCGGGGAGAGTAAATGAGCTTGCTGACTCTCTGTGGATATTTGATGGCATTGATATGAGAGTAGGCTACCCTCCCTTAGTCGTGGTGGAGGGTTTCCTCTCTGGTTAACAAAAATCAGGTCTGGAGCGATGTTTCAGAGATTCTCAATCCCAATCCAGGGGAGGGTAGTAGAGAAATTCCACATCCAGTCAAGATCGCTGGTGATTTCTATCCTATGTCTGCGATACTGAACAAAGGCATAATTCTTGGGATTGAGTCTGAGTTGGTTCAACGAAGGGATATCAATTTTTCATACTTCAAGTTTGCTACCAGAGTAAGTCCGGATATCTCTTGTCTACGGTCACCTATTAATAGACGTCTGAGCTTAGCCCCATATCTTCCTCAGCCATATATTACGGCACCACCTTACGTGTCACAGACTAGGGGCGGCTGTAGAGTTAGCCGTCAGCTATGAAAAGCTTCGGTACTTTGGGCATATTTTAGAGGTTCTAATGCACCACGTCTTGGATGATGAGGCCGACCGACCCCCAGGTCCAGAAGGTAATATCCACTATCCCTTCTACCTAGCTTTGTATAACGCTCACAGTAATAGCCGCCGTTCTTCCCGAAGTCATTCGCTTCCTTTCCCACTTCCCCCAGTATCTCGACGTAATACTGGGCTGCACACGGAAAACCGAGGTAGCCTCTTGGAGTTACCTCTTCGATGTAGTTGGCTCTCCTAAAGCCCTCTTTGAAGAATCACTCTCTAGAGGTCTCCTCAAAACAGCCGGTGGCTACCTTCTCGTCCTCCACACCCTTGAGAAACTCTCTAGTTCCTCGAAAGACATGGTCAGACTTCTTGAACGAGCGGTGGCGGAGGGGGATTGGGATTTATGCAAGGAACTTGCTAGATTTCTTACCGCTCTTGATAACTCGGGTAAAACACTTAAGGAGGCGCTGGAGTTGGTCGAATTGGGGAGCCCGGTAGAGGAGTTTGACAGAAGCTTCATGTTCGAGAGTGCAAGGCTTAAACCCCCGCCATCCGGGAAAAAAACCAGGCCGATCAGCACGACGCCAGGGGATTATGGGTTCCCAGAGGCGAGGAAGTAGTGGGAAACGTTCGCCCTATAGATATATAGAAGATAAGGTGATTCTATTTTGTATTCTAGGTTGTTTTTTTCTTTTTTTTCTTGATCCTTGGGGGAGTTTGGTTGCGTACAATTTGATTCTAATTTTTCTCATTTCGGCGATGCTTCGCAAGGCGAAGATGTCAAATCCGGTAAGAGCTTTTGCTTAATAATTTACCGTAGGTGGGTCCTGGGTTCGTTAATTGGTAGGGAGTTGTTCAGTAGTGCTCTTGAAGCGTTGTGATATGGTAGGAGTTGTCAGGGGCTTCCTGATAACCTCATGTGAGGAGCGGTCTAGACTTATGCGAGGAGCAGTGTCAAGGAATGGTATGGACTTATGCAAGGTATTACGAGAAGTGGTTTAGAATGGACTGAGTAGCGGTATGGATTGGAAGGAATGTAGCCACCTGATGGATATCTGGTCGGTTGGGGTTTTCTATAGTATAAGGTATGATACCCCACGGCGAGTCGAAACACACGGTGACACGAAGCAGCCAAACAAAGTGTGTTAGTATGATATAATAAAGTACGGGGACAGAAGTTTTGGTTCGGAGGATTTTTTTTTTTTGTTTAACTCATATATTCTTTGTTAAGGTACAAGAACCTACATGGAGCGCTAGCTATGGCAAAAACAAAACCTTAATATCAAAAACAACAAACAGTGACAAAATATTTCTCCACCAATAATCCCCGCCTGTGAGTAGTACAACCCACTGTGCCTGCCAGGACAACTGATCACAAAAGGAAAGACAAGCCTCCTCCCGCACAGAGAAAACATAAAGCATGGAAAGTCAAGTAAAGTCAGGAAAGACAACAAACAGAACCACCACTTCAATCTGAAACTAGGTTGATGCCGGGCGACGCCCGTCCCCCGCCTATGGTGGGGGGGAAATTGGTTCTGGTAATGGAAATGTATTGAGCCAGGCCCCATAAGAGGTCCTTATCAGCCCATAGGGGGGCCCCGCAGGCCAAAGAATCAACTCCCGGGATATGGAGCAGTCTCGAGGAGGCCTTAGAGAGACAGGAGAGGACAGCATGCTGCATAGTCTCTCGCTCAAGGCCACAGGTGGAGCAAGTGGTAGGTTTGTCTGGCTCGTTCCAAGGGGTATGGGCCGCTAGATAGCTCTTTCCAGCTCTCAATTGATGTATTCTCCCAGCCAGAAAGCGGTCCAGCCCCATGAAGGGGTGCGGGGCCTCGGGTGGGGGATAGGGATAGTATAGAGGGGGGGGAGCCTGCAGCGCCCAGTCCTGAGACAGGAGGGACTGCATGGTAGCTTTCAGGAGGGAGTAATTTTGTGAGGAGGAAAGATTGTAGACCGTCCCTGGGACCAGGTGCCTGTTAAGGCCCTGAAGAGTCCCCTTGGCGGTGATCCGAGCCAGGGATTGAGCTATGCCATCAATAAGGAGGTGGGATCGTATGGCGGGAGAAGGCCTAGGGGTCTTCCAGAGGAGGGGGTAGGTGTTCCCCTTCAGCCCAACAGACAGGGCCCGATTGGAATCTGGGGCCCTGGCTGCTGATACGGAGGGAAAGAACAAGGGGAGCCTGGCCGCAGCCGGGTTTATTTTGGGTGGCAAGCAGGGCATCCTTAAGGCCGCCATTTGGCGCCGATAGGGAAGAAGGACCACCAGAGGGGGGATGCTGGCCTCTCAAGGGAGGATCAAGGTAGGGGTAGAGTGGAAGCAGTTGGTCACCGATTGGAGGACATGGTTCCAGAAGACCTCCATCTTGTGGAGTGCAGCAGCGTTGGGTAGTAAAAGATCGGCCCCATAGGAGAGGATCGGAAGGATGAGTCCCACAGTGAGCCTCCTATTAAGATAAGGAGGCAAGCCTTGGCTGGGGGGAGAGAGTTGTCTTACGATAGCAAAAGCCCCCTGGGCAAGCACCAAGCGTTTCGCGAAGTGAGAAGAGGTCTCCAGGCTAGGAGTAAACCAGTAGCTGAGCCAGCGAACTAGCCCAGCAGGGTGGAAGAGGGTACCGTCCAGGGTGACTGGGGTGTAGCAACGAGCCCCATGGTCCCTTGAGGTCCTCCAGTAGGACAGTTCGGTCTTGGGCACGGAGAAGGACATGCCTATAGCACCCACCCTTCTCTTCAATGCCGAAAAATAGTGCTGTAAGCGCTGAACATTGCGCCTGTAAGAGGGAGAGGCCCCCGTAACAGTAAAATTATCAACATAGGAAAACATAATCCCCTTAGGAATATCCAAATAAAGAGGAGACACATAGATGACAAACAGAAGAGGAGAGATAGGGGACCCCTGTGGCGCACCCACCTGAACTGGAGAAAACACATTAGGAGACCCTTGAAAGCAAAGGCGACAATGCCTGTTAGAAAGGAAAGATTGAACCCAGGTGCAAATGTATGGCGGCACCCCCCTGGACTTCATGAAAGCAGTAAGTAGTATTGAGTTGATGGTGTCAAAACCTCCTTTAATGTCAAGGAAGAACCATGAGGCTTTGAGCCTGGGCCTCGGGAGGCAGCGGATCTCGTGCGTGAGGGCGGCGCAGGCATTGTAGGTGCTGAGACCGGGGAGCGAGCTGTACTGATTTGGGTTGATTACCCCCTCGAGAGCTGGTGACTAGGGACAGTGGAGAGGCAACAATCCTCTCTAGGATTTTTGAAACTGTCTGGAGTAGGACAATGATGCGAAAGGAGGAGGGGAAGGAATAGTCTGGTTTTTCCGCCTTAGAGAGGACAACTTCATTGGCCTTTTTAAGAGAGGGAGGCTAGAAGCTGAAAGATAGCAAGGGCGAGAGAAGATTAATGAGGAGGAAGGAATTAGCTGCATGGACCTTCTTCCAGACCCCATAGGGGATCTGGTCCGAGCCTGGGGCTGACAAGTTTGACGACTTAGACAGGGCCCTTTGCACCCCCTCGGGGGAGAGAGGGGGTGAGTCGTGGAAGGGCCTGAGAATAGATGGGGTGGGAGTAGGAGTCTTGTGGGGGAAGAAGTAGCTCAGAAGAGCTGAGTTGATCTGTTCGGGGAAGGAGAGGCCAGGAAAGGATGGGAAGCGGTAGGGGGCCCTTCCAGTGGCGAGCCTCTTGGCCGTCCAGACAGAGCAGGAGTCAACCTTGGCGTTTTGGTTCAGAGGATGCAATGGCCAATATATACTCAATGCTAGCTCATACTCCACCACTACTAATAATTCAAATGAATTAAGACTTTGTAAATAGTAAATATAAAGATTAACGATATAACGTTATGCAAAGTAAAAGAATTTTAAATAAAACAAATATTTGGTATACCATCCCTTGGTATTCAAAATTGCAGCTACCCTTTTAGGCATTGACTCCCACAGCTTTTCTAAGAAATCCGCCTCAATATCCTGAACCCAAACCTTATTAAGAGCTTCTGCTAGACATCTCCTAATAGTATCTGGACCACCTTTGATCTTATGAATGTTAGAAAATGTCCAATGCAGGTTTTCTTTAAGGCTCTTTCAACCGTACTCAATTGGGTTAATATTAGGGGAATGGATCAGCAAGAATAAACATGGCATCTGACATGTGGGCTGTGCATCCTAAAGTCTGGGTTTACTTTTTTGTGTCTCCTGTGTCCCATGCATCCTAACTCTTATTGCAATATTCCTATGGGTCTTGTATGTCCTGATTCTTATGGCAACATCCCTCTGCATCTTGTGCCTCCTGACTTTTGTTGTAATGCTCCCCCTGCATCTCCTATGTCACATCACCACTCCAGTCACTTGCTGGCCTTCCTTACCCTCTCGCCTCCTAGTTCAACATCTGGATCATGTTCTAATCTGGCTACTGTAAAATTCTCCCCCCAAGTACAATGCTTGTAGCTTTGTATCTGGGTTACTACCTGACCCTCTCTCCTGCTCTCCATCCTCAGGATTCTACCTTTTTTTTATTTTTTTTATTATTTTTATTTTAATTCATATACTTGTTGATTGTGGTTCAAAAACATACATGCACCTCATGAGATGGCAATAGAAAAAAACTTAATTGCAATGCAAAAACAACAAAGAAATATAACCAATATAGTAGTATCTTGAAAGTGGAGCAAAATAGCTCCTCACATTGCCCACAATAACTAATAAAGTAAGGTAAAGAAATTCCTCCTATGGGGACTAGCTCTAAGTAGTAGAAAATACAAGTAAAGCAAGCTATACCATCCTAGCCCTCAGGTGCTCTCAGGAACTAGAACAAATAACTTGAAGGAAATCACAATAGTAAAAACCACGAGCATCTTGGGCACTCACACAGATAAACAGGATGATGGAGTTGACCCTGAGGAAAAAGCAGAGGGCAAAGTAGTATTCACTGGAATAGCTGGCATTTCAGGAGAAAATTCTATCGTAGTAGAAAAAATATAATTAGCTAACTAAAGTGTCAGGTTGGCTGAGGACCACACAGGGGCATCAGGACCCAGGCTGTCAATGCCCTGAAGATAGACTCTGCACTGCCTGGCCTTAGCCGAACAAAAAAGGATAGTGTGCTTGAAGTCCTGCTTGTTCTCTTCACAGAAAGGACAGAGTGTAGGCTTATCACTAGAGTACTATGACCTGTGAGCAGCTAGGTAGCTTTTCCCTGACCACATCTGATGGAGCTGGCCTGTCACAAACCTCGGGAGGCCCATGAAGACATGTGGGGTCGTTGAGGATAGAAACTGGTAGGATGCTTAATGTCATAAACTGTGACTAAGCAAGGCAGATTTTATATAGTTTTGGATTTCAAACTATAGGTATGTTGGGATTTCATATGACATACTCTAGTACACCATAGGTTATTATGTTTACCTGTTTATGACTTATAGTTGTGAGTCACATGATGCTATGATTTTCACACATAACTCAAATTATGAGCCATGGGTTTCACTCAGGTGACGCGAGTTGCACACCTGACTTGGTTATCATATTTTGATTGGGTTTAGGTATGTTGCGCAGAGACTCATAGGAGTCAGCTGATGGATTTCACATGACTTATATTTATGAGTCAAAGGATTCACATGTTGCGAGGTATG